GGGCGAGACTGGAGTTGCCAAGCAGACTGCAAGCTGCCCCACGTCAGGCATTGTGTCGGAGCCAGCCTGCAGCCTTTGTGGCACCAGGAGATCCTGCTGTGGGAGCGATGCTGCCTGCCCCACCGCATTCCTCCCCGTCTGCCCCGCACCGTGCCGGCGGCTCCCAGATCAGGCTCCCAGCGAGTGGGAATCCCTCCTCTCCTCCCCTCCCCATCCTGTTGCTGCTCTGATTTAATCCCTCCTTTGGTTGGGTTCCTAGCAGCTGTTCCAATTTCCCTGCCCTTCTCCCATCCTGCCAGCCACAGTTTCCTTGCTCAGCAGATATTTCATGGTGGTTTTGCCATTTTGCAGGGGATGCGGGGGGCAGACAAACACCCCAAATGTTCCTGGGAAGACGGGCAAGAGACGAGGGCGACCCCCAAAGCGGAAAAAACTACTGGAAGAAAATTTGCTGAGGTATGGAAAGGTTGTTCCTGCAATAGACATAAAATGCATATGTTCCCAGAGGGAAGTATAATGTACTTCTGGGGTTCCCCCAATAAGTATGTTTATACCATGCAGCCATAATTTCAATGCATCTCTGAAGTGAAGCAAGCTCAGACTTGGTGGGTGCTTTGATCACTCTCCAAGGAAAATTCTGCCTGAGCTGGAAGCCAAGTTTGGTGAAACAGTGGGTATCACTCTTCCAGACGCCTCACTTCAGATGCAGTTCCCCCATGCGGTGCTAGGGGATATGCTCCTGATAAAGAACGCTTTCACCGCGGAGCACTTGAAGCCAAAATCCTGGCCACTTGAGTCAGTACAGGTTTTGGGATGCTTCCCATAAGAATTGAAATACTGTCTTTGCCAAACTCCAGCCTGCATCCTTCACTTCTTAAAATTTTATGAAGCTATGATAAATATAGATGTGAATATATATACTGAACATGTGTTCTGTATGCTGGTTTTTTTATGGTTTTGTTGTGCACTGAATAGTTGCTGCATCCCCCATTCTTCTCCTCAGAAGCTCCTGCATTTCAGTGTTGTGAAGTAATATATGTATTGTATCACTCCTCCTCTTTCTTTCTTGGTAGGGAGAAGGCAGAAGAGAACTTGCTAATCCGCGAGACTCAGATAAGAAATGGTAAAGAGATTTTGCGGGGTCAGGGTTGATACGATCAACTAACATGGCTCTTAAATTTTCGAAGCCCAGAGAGATGCCTTTCTCAGGAAAGGGAGAGTCTTTCTGCTGGTTGTTGGGTCCGAGTCTGGAAGGAGGGGTTGGCGTTACAGTCTGCCTTGCAGCTGGGAGCCTGGGCACCTGTGGGCTTCCTCTTCCTTTGTGGATTAGTTTGGGATGAAGAAATGTAACATATTGGGTTACACTAGGTCTTGGGGGCCCACCTACTCACTGAAGTTGATAGAAATGGGCTGTGAACGGCCCTTGCTCCTCCAGGGGTGAGGTGAACACAAGCCTCTGTTTGTAGCGGGTGCATTTTTTCGGACTGGGAAGAGAGTGGGGTCAGTGATGCCAAGACAGGGAAGGAAGAACCTTTTGATTCTCCTCAACTCTCCTTCCTGGTGGCCGTTGGGTGGCTGAGCTTGGTAAATGATGTCTTGGGGATACCCACCTAAGGGTTAACAAGGCAAGCAGAAAAAGCGAGTTGGCAACATAATGTGAAAGTGAGTCCGAGGGGGCTGGGACTCATTTGTCATACATGCGGATCCATTGGCTTCCACATAACCCAGGGGCTCAGCCTGCCCGTGTTCCCCCACAATAAGAGGCAAGGGTGGCATTGTCTTTGCTGTGCCTCCTTCTCTTCACCCTTTGTCTTCAGATTTCCTGGCGGCTGCTCCAGAGCTGGGCGGCAGAGCCGGGTGAGATGCTGGGGGTTTTATCAGATCATTGTTTTCCAGCAAATTGTGTCACTTCAGCTGCGGACTAATCTTCTGGTGGCACAAAGCAGTGCCTTAGCCCCGATTGCTATTGAAACAAGTCACCTGTAGGCAGCTGGCAAGGGAAGGGGAAACGAGGGGGCAGGCTCTGGGGGCAGCGTGCAGGTAAGCTCCCCACTGCAGATGGGCAGGGGAAGAGCTTCGCATGGCCAGGGCAGCAGAAACCAGCACATGGTTGGTCCTTCCATCGTGGTTACCAGTCCCCGGTACATTAACTTGAGCTGAAGCCAAGGGCGGGCTAAGCTGCACGCTGGCCTGTGACCTGGAGCTAGCACACGCTTGCTCTGTGCCGCTACCGTGGCACGGAGGTTTCTGACAGAGGGCAGGTGGCTGGAGGGAGGCTGCAGCTCTCCAGTCTTCCTGGGGCAACCTGATAGCTTGTGTGCCGGAGCCGCTGGCAGCTCAAATCCACAAATGGCCCAGGGTTAGGTTCAGAGAGAAAGAGGCTCTGTTTTTTGCTTCTTTATATTTATCATAGTTAATTTGCTTGAAAATGTGGTGAGAAGCTGTGTGACATCTGCCAGCGGGGCTGGTGACCATTGGTTTCTTTCCAGTAGCCCGTGGTTAGCTCTGAGTCTAAAGGGATCTGAGAACCCCTCAGCCTTGAAGGGGTTTGAACCGACGTCTTCCCCCTCCCCAAAAATGGGCCACAACTTTTTTTGCTTAGAGAGTTTCCTGGGGCAAAAGCATGCAAGTTGCAACCCATGAGGCTTCTCTGCTCTGTGTAAACATTTCTGGAGCAGGAACCACATTCCCCCTCTCCAGGTGGGTGTTCCAACCACCATGCAAGAGAGTCCTTCCTTTGCAATTAATATTCAAATATTTCACACAAGGTGGAACAGCTCCAGAGTGTCTTGGTAGTTGGGACATGCTTCAGAGCAGTGGGAGATCTGCTTCAGATCCCACTCTGGATCGAGCTGGGATGGGATGTGAACTTTTAGAACTTCCCCCTCATCTGGCAGCCCGATGAAGCTCGTCTTTCACTTCCTCTTCTGTTCTTTCAAGTGCCTGCAAACAAAATGTTTCATTTGGAGAGAACAGGAGGTTTTATTCACCGCAGCAAAGGTTTGCAGTGCTAAAAAAAAAAAAAAAATTGGCTTATTTCAAATAACATTAATTTTCAATGTTTTTATTCTGCTGCCAGACTAAATCAGACATTTGCATTACCCTATGTCCTGCTCTGGCTGACAGCCTCCATTACAAGAAAAAAATTCAATCCTTTTCTCTGGTCTGTCATAACTGAAATGGAGGCTTGCTACAGGGATGTCACACTACCCATGTGTTGCAAAGTCCCACCATTACTTCACCTGTGTACTTCCTCTGTGTCTTGGTATCACTTTCGATGTCACTAGGGGAGGCAGCAGTGCTTCTGGTGGATCAAGGGAGCTTTGGGTCTATAGCAAAGAGCATGTTTCCCATAACAGTGGCCACTGACAGAATCTTTTGCTCTTCCCGTGCCGAGAGGAGAGGAGAGGAGAGGAGAGGAGAGGAGCAGGGATAAAGAAAAGTTGTTAGTCATAACTGCTGTGGAGATAACATCCTTTCATGTTGTTGAAGGGTCCCAAGGGCCTGGCCGTGGGACATGGTGGCTGCTGTGTCAGACGGAAGAGGAGTGGAGGCAGGTCACAGAGAGCTTCAGAGAGAGGACTTCCCTTAGAGAGCGGCAGCTCTACAAACTCTTGAGTGAAGACTTCCTGCCGGAGATCTGCAACATGATTGCACAGAAGGTGAGGAGACATGACATCCTGTTTACCGCTCTATGACCGCTTCCAAGAGCATGGACATTCGCTGATTGAAGGAGAGCTAAATCCAAGCAGCCCTCACCCCGTCCTGCTCCCCCCACTCCAGCCTGCAAGCGTCGTGGATGTGGGGGCTGTTTAGCTTGTGAGTGGGGAGAAAGGCTCTCCCCAGTGGAGTGGCAGGGCTAGAGTCGATACTTAAGGATCTGGTTCGTGATTGCATGACAGCATAGGTAGGATGGCTGAAGGGGTTACTGTCTTCAGCCATGTTCTGTGTCCCTTTTCTGCTAGCAGGGAATCTCTGTCTGCTTTTGAACTGCTGCGATTTACAGCCTAGCTTTTCTATGCAAACTGCCTGTGATCCCTCTTTTACTGCCGTTTCTCAGCTGGCTCTGCTGAAGGGGCAGTGGCTGCTTTAGCTGTCCTAGCTAAATCCGCTTGAGCTGGTATGTCAGAGCCCCGAAACTCCGAAGGGTATTGTCCGTCAACTGAATGTTTTCAGGTGGGACAGATTTGGAACAGGATCCTTCTGCTAGATGGCTTTGTAAAATGGGCGCTGCAGTCAGCGTGATGTTCTTGGATTGAGTTCAGTTTGCTTGTTTGCTACCCTTGTAAAGCTAATAGGGATTTCATGGTCACTTCTAGCCCCCAGAGTTTCTCCTGCCAGTATCACCGATGTGCCCTAATTTCCTCCACTCTCTTTTTCCTTCCCTCAATTCTCAACCCTGTTTCAGGAGAAGCGTCTGCAGCGGACAGAGTTTTCTCCCAGGTGGATGTCTGACCATCAGCCCATCAAACCAATCAAGCAGGAGGTGAGGGGGGGTGCGAGGGGGAGGACGACGGAGGGAGGCGAGAGCAGATGCCTCCTGGGGGAAAAAAATAAACCGCAGCATCGCTATTCAGTGGGAAGGAGTCATTTGAAAGTGCTTGTGCTGAAAGAGAGATGGGTGGTAATGCCCGTCAAAGGCAGGCTGACACTCGGGGTTTCTATGGCGAGCAGGGAGGTGCTGCCCTCTGGATCGCAGAGGTAACCGGCCTCGCCACAGACTCCAGTGCAGCTGCATATGGAAATCTGCACTCAGTCTGGGGAATTCCACTTCAATGAAAGTGCTGGCACATTCGAGGCAGTTCAAAGAAAAGTTGAAGAAGGATGAGAGGGCTAGAAGAACCGGCTTACAAAGGGAAATGACAGAAATTCAGCCAAGGGGAAAACGTGAGGCTGCAAACACATGAGGGTGTAGATAGTGCGGAGGGAGAGAAGAATGACTGATGCGGTACGGAGCTGAGCTAGGAGGGGGTCAGCTGGAAATGGAAGTCACAATTTAGGCTGCTTAAAGAAATGCTTATCAAACTGCAGCCTTGTCAGCTGAAACGGCTCTTTCCGTGCCTCCTCACCCTCATCTCCTCTCCACCCCATCAGTGTAACAGCGCTGCCGCTTGCGGGTCTGTGCAGTGAACCAGACCCAGGAAAATGACTGGAGTTAAATATAACCTTTTTCTTTGGTCGGGGTTATTTTTAACGTAGATCAGCTTTCCGATCCAGTTCACCATGCAGCCCCCAACAGTCACGCTGGCACAGCCAGGGGCATGGTACGGTGGAGATGGGGGGTCTTTGAACTGGCAACTGCTACCCAAAGCAATCGGTCAGGCAACACGGGATTAGCTTTGGAGGAAAAAATTGGCTTGATTCTATCAGGCCGTGGCATAATCTCTCACTGTAGATGTAATGAAAACGTAGTTACCTGGTGTTTTGTCAAACCCTGGGAAATTAAACTGCAGGGAATATTCCATGAGAGCCAGGGTCAGGGGTTCCCACAAAACAAAGGAGAAAGTACAGTTCCCCACAATAAATATAATTACTTAGAATAGATAAATAAAAGGAAGGAAGAACCTCTCATCATGTTGCAGATAAAAGTCTGCTGAGAGGAAAATAAGACCCCAGTGATGGTCAGTTTGGGGCCAGAATTGCTCTCCGCAAAGCCCACCATGCAGGAAGCGCAGGGACACGTGTTTGTTCACAGGCAGCAGAAATCCCAGAGGAGGAGGGGAGTGGGAAACACATGGAGCCTGAATGATGCTAATCAGTACCGCAGGTGCTCCAGGTCTGCTGTGGCGGAGGGCTGTTAATTGCTGCCTGTGGGCCAGTGAAACGTTTCCAGCGAGTGGGGGGCCCTCCCAGCACCCGCTGCGCTGAGGCACGGGGAGCCAGCCAGCGCGAGGATGGCAAATGCTCCTGCCGGCTCCCCAGCAGGACCAGGCAGTCATCCCTGCCACGGGGGAGCCAGGGAAGGTGCCAGCATGTCTGATGGCTTGTTTGCCAAGCAAGGGGTGGGCAGCAGGTGAGTCTGGGGGAGAAGACCTCAGCCCAGTGTAGGGGTGACCCCTTCCTCCCAGCTCCACGAGCTGGATGCCGCTTCGGTCCAAGATATAACTGCTCCGTAGGCTCCTAATCCGGCGGGGGATTTCTCAACAGGTGGTTCAGATTAGCTCCTCATTAAAGAGCCGCCTGAGCAGCACCCTCATTAGGGCAGTGCTGCGGAAACCGGAGCAGGGAAGGTTTGGAGAGCGAGGGGCCAGGGCGTGTGGCTGGAGGGGGCTGGAGCGCCTGGGGCAGCCGTGCCTCCTGGCCTTCTGCCCCTGAAGCCTGATACCCGCTGTCTGGAGAGCAAAGCAAAAGGCAGAAGTTTGGCCCTTTCGGGGTCCCAGGGGGGAAAGGCAGCGATGTTGTGTCCTGGAGTGCTCTCTGGCGGAGGGAAGGAGGCAGTGATGCCGCAGTCACAGATGTGAGGGGTGGTTTTTATCCTCCAAGTGGGGAGGAAGCTGGAGAAACGTCCCTTTGCCACCTCTTCATTCTGGAAGGAGGTATAACTCGTGTTGGGTTCTTGCTTTTATTGTTGCAATAGACATCTGCTTCCATCACATCTAGTAGGAGTTTACTTGTTTGTGTTTGCTTTTTTTTTTTTTTAACCCTGAGTTGAGCACCCTCATCCCCAATGGGCTTAAGAGGGACACCAGGCAGTAGGTCCCTCTGAAAATCTGGCTATTTCTGTGTCTGAAGCGTCTTGAAGAGCCCATGCCAGCACTGCTGCTGCCCTGCAAGTGCTGCAGGGAGCAAGCGCCGTTGTTGTGGGCATCTGCTTCGGCCCTTGGTGCTCACTACACTGCACTTGTGGTTTCTGCTTTTCCCTTTCTTCTCTTCCTAGATCTGCTAGGATGACATCCTCTCCTTTGCTTCAGATTGTCCCATTGCTTTGTCGATGTCGTATTTGTGGTGGGTTGATGTGGAACACGCTATGGATTCTGTGTTGTACCATTACAGTATAGGGTGCTGAATGCACCCTGCAGGCTTGGAGAGGCCCTGGTGTGAGCACTGCGGCTTGGATGTTGTGTTGACATTTCTATAGGACATGAATGGTGGAAGCTGTTGAAGGGAAAGGGCTCACCTGTGCACCAATTGTTGAAGAAATTAGTGTGGCATGCCAGGCTGGCTTAGATCTACTGGCTGGAGAATCTAGAGGCTGATGGTCACATCCTCAATAAAATATCTTGGTGTACCAACTTCTGGTGACTAGTTCCTGCTCACCTCTTTCTCTTTCTAATTGCTGCAGAACCTGATGTTTTTTGGTTCCTATTGCAATTTAAAGATTGATCAAGAGGGTTAGAAAGTTAGGGGGAAACTAGTTGATGATGATCAGGATCAGGCCTGAAAAGGAGGTGCTTGCAGTGCGTGAGTAGAAAATAGGATGGGTAGAGTGGTTGAGAAAGGGATATGAAAAGACTCAAAAGTAGAAATGTAGAACCTGGTTCTGTAGGTTCTTGACCTCTTGTACTTGGCATAGCAGTTTCAGTCGTGGGCATCCTGGTGTTTGGATATTGATCAGTTGGAGGAAAGGTCTGAGAGAGACAGCTGGAATGATTAGGGAGCTGGAAGGATTGCTTTATAAGGAAACATTTAGCCTAATTACAGAAACATGGGAGTTTTGTGTAAGTGTCAGAGGAAGCCCATAAAGGCTGGAATGTGGCTGAAGAAGAGAATTTATGCTTGCCCAGAAGAGCGTAACTAGGAATAATTGGATGGAATGAGGGGATGAGAAATTAACTTTTTAGACTGCATGTGAGGAGAAGCTGGCTAACCTAAAGGCATGTGGACTCACAGAATAGTTTCCTTAGGAAGGCAGTAGAAGAGTGAAGTACTAATATTTGACAAAGATTTGAAAAAGAAAAGAAGATGGGAAGAGTTCCCTTGTGGTGAGATCATGCTGTGGGTTTCATCTAAAAGGATCAGCACAGAAATAAGCATTTTTGCTGTCCACTCTGTCCTTAGATGCAAGATATGGTCCTAATATCATAAAGAGTTCTGTCACCCTCTCTTGGACACTTCTCCGTGGCTGTTGGTGATTGAATCATAATTCTCTTACTACATTGTTGCTGCTGGAGACAGGGAGATAATACACAATGCTTGTCCACGGAGAGCTGCAGGGGGAGTAGGGCAGTGCTGTGTAGGGGAAGGGGAGGCAGAGTGGGAATGAATGTACAGTGAAACCAGGCAGCATTTCTAGGCGTTTATCAAAACACCTCGAGGTTCCACTTCTAGGCAATAAAACAAGGACAAAATAGTAATCATGGTGCCAGATTTTTTTCTGGGGATTAATAATGGGCCTGGAGAAGTTGATGGTCTGAGCAGCAGCCAAGGGACCCCAGCTGATTGCTAATCCTCAGGAAATGCCTTCTGCCTAAGTGGTGGTTGCTGGTTATTCCCTGAAAATGAAGGTAGAGGAAACTGTATGCACAGTGTTCTTTTCCAGTTGATACTCCCTGCTGATTAAGGCACACGTACCTTGGTCTTGCAGAATTCAAGGAGGTGGGAGTGGCTGGTAGATGACAGATTCATTTGTCTTATAATTACATTAAGCTAATAAAGGTAATTGCACACTGCCATATACATACATCGCACTTTATTGGAAAAATAGGAGCCGGCGATCCCTGGTCTGGGGAGCCTGCAGTCTAAGTGGGATCAAACACAGCCTTGCAAGCCTGCTGGCAGCAGGGAAGTGAAGTGGTGCACTCAAGAGCCAGGCGTCCTCGAATGAGAAAACTGGGTGGGGGAACCAGCAGGAAAACTGTCCAAACAGACAAGTGAGAGCTAGTTCAGGGGAGATTAGCACACAGAAATATGGCGGGCCTTATTTTGAACAGGAAAGGAAAACATTCCAAATGATATGTTAATGCAAGGCTGTACCAGTCTCTTTTCCTATCCTAAGTACTCTGTGTTTTATAGCAGAGCCAGGTTCGGCAGAGTAGTCCATTCTGCTCACGCTTGCAACTCAGGGCTCTGCTAGCTGCAAGGGGTAGAGGTGTTGTGTGGGGGTGTCAACAGCCCGAATCCTTTGCCCAGAAAGGAAATACACGCGGTGTGTCCCTGGCAGAATGGCAGCATGTCTAACTCATCGCTTCTCCTTCCTTTGTCCCTGTATCAGTAGGATTTCATTGCTTGACAATTAACTTTCCTTTACATGTTGCTTTTCATCTGAGAATTCATATGTATAAATCCTTTTTTTCCTTTTTTTCCCCCCAGCCATTCATTGTAGGTATGCTTTAATACTTGCTCAAAGTAAACCTGCCTCTGCTTAGACTTCAATAAGCCAATGCATTACAGTTTTTGGTGCACCGTTTTGTCACAGGTAAACCCGAACATGCTGAATTCGATGGAGAAGCAGAGGCGCAGAGAAGAAGAGGAGGAGCGCCAAATCCTTATAGCAGTGCAGAAGAGGGAGCAGGAACAGCTGCTAAAGGAAGAGAGGAAGAGAGAGATGGAGGAGAAAGTCAAAGCGGTGGAAGGTATGTGCAGCCAGTGTGAAGCAGGGGTGGAAGCTTTCAAAGCCAAGATTGAGATCCTGAATTAAGATTTGCCATTTGCATTCCTCCCCTGCCAGATCTGCTAATGGGAATATCTTTTCTTGCACTTAACTCAGATAAATTGGTCTGACTGTAGCTTCTTTTTCTTTGTCGATCTCCCTCGGTGTTGGTGGCTGTTCTCTAGTGCACCCTTCAACCGTGTTGTCTTCCTCAAATCATGCTTATTTTCTCCCTTGCCCTGGCTGTAGTTTTTTTCCCTGCTGTTTGTGGTGTTCCTCAGTTCTCTTCTGTCTCCCCACTTGCCTCCTTATGGATTTCCCTGTGTGCGGGATTAGCTGGTTTTGCTCTTGCTGAATAGTATTTGGTCCTTTTGGCCCAATGCATGATGAAAGAAGGATTGCCTTTGAGGAGGAAGGGAAGGGGACAACATGGGAGTAGCAAGAGTAGTATTTTTATATTGCTACTGGCCTTAACAACTGGAGAACTAAAGATGAGGGGACCAGGCTAAATAGGTCACCAGAGATGGCAACTTCAGTTGTTGGTCTTGGCTTTTTGTGGTTTTGAATTAAATACTGATTTAAGCTGTTCTGCAAGAAACAGTCATGTTGTGTTTAATACCATCAGATCAAGGCACAGACAGCAGGCGTTCAGCCAGTACATGTAGGCACTTGTGTCTAGGAGCAGGCTCATTTCTGACCACCTTCTCTCTGTCAGCCTCCCTGATGGGGATTCCTTTATCTGCTGCTTTTGTCGCAGTGGCTGGCTGGGCCGTTGCAGTTTCCAGGGAAAGGCTGAACATCTTCAGAAAACTGTGGTGGTAATGTGTGGCGGTATCAATATCGTGAATCCTTAAGTGGATAAAGAATCAGAAAAGGAAAAAAGATTAAGTTCATGCAAACCTTGTAAACTTTCCAAGATGAAACAGTCTGCTACCAGATGTTTGGTAGCAGACCAGATGTTATCTAAGAATAGTTTCTTTTACCTGCTTACCTTTCTAACCTTTAGAAAATCCAATTACTTGCTTGGCCTTCCTATATTTGTGGTTGCCAGTCCTAGCTAATCCAGTGCTTTAAACTGAGAATCATCGAGCTTCCATATCTGCCACAGATATCTGTTTCACCTTGGCAAATTGCATATTCTCTGTGCTTTAATTCTCCATCTGTATAGACAAAATTAATCTTGAAGTTCCAGAAGAGCTGCAAAGATAAATGTACCTGTAAAAAGGTCTTGTTTTGGTATAAGCCATATCCTTTTCTGGGTAAATGCACTCATTACATCATCTGATGCAAAGGCACCAGAGCCACTCAAAGAAACTGGCATGGGATTGGGCACTAATCTGTTTTAAACCAATTTAGCATATATTCATGTTTTTCTTGGCAGAGATGCTTTAATTTTGGTTTGTGCAGTTTCTTCCAGTTTAGTTTAAACTTGTCCCTAGTCAGTTTAGGCTAAGTTGGGAGGAGTCTCCTTTTAAGCTGGTGCAAAAGCTGTTTAGAAAGGTTATTTAAATGGATGACTTGTTTGGTTAAATCACTGCAGTATTTTTCATCCCTAGAAACAGCAGTTATCGAGGTAAAACTTTGGCTTCTTAACCATCTTTCCTTATTGCCAAGCACACCCTCCATTAGCATTTACTTTCATGACAGTTCTTATGATGGACAGAAAGTGATTTGAAAATGAAGTAATTTGTTTTGCTTGGTTCAGGCTTGTTAAAACTGGACATTCATTGACAGAGATTTTAGGGTAACAAAGATTTTCTTGTATTTTGCAGTCTGTTTGGGATTTAACATTAATTATAGAATCAGAGAATCGTTTGGTTGGAAAAGACCTTTAAGATCATCCAGTCCAACCATTAACCTAACACTACCAAGTCCACCACTAAACCAATTAAGGGTAGAGTAAGAATTAATTTCATGTTTCCTGGCTTGGTGGCTGCATTATTTTTTAATGAAAGTAAAACTAGGAATCATTAAGGTTGGAAAGGATCTCAAAAATCATCAGTCCAACCATCAACCCAACACCACCATGCCTACTAAACCACATCCCAAAGTGCCACGTCTACACATTTTTTGAACACTAATTATGTAAGGTCTTCTGTAGAGGGGCGATGTGAAACACAGGGTGAAATATCTGCTCTCTGAACTTCATCAGCACTTCACCTGCTTCTCAGTTTTGGACCGTATGCCTGTTTTTTAGATCATGTTCCTGTTTCCAGTCTGGGGTTTCACTTCCCCCACTCCAACGCACACCCCAGGTAGCAAGTCTCCTGCTGGGCCCATCTGTGCTTTCCTGAATTTATGAGTTAAAGCAGCTTTCTAGATTTCTACCACAACAGCAGGTTAGAGTTTTCCAGTTCTCTTCCCAGATGCTGCTCCAACATTATCTCTCTCACATATGACTTCTAAAAAGTACCTCAAACAGCTAGGGCATTGGTTAGATTTTGAAATCTGCTGGGTAGGACTCAACCCAGGCCAACAGTATGACAACAAGCTCTGCTGGTGATCTTTAACATGCTGTATTAATCATTTGCTGTGGTAGAGAGACCTGCCATTAATCCTGACTGACCTCCAGCCCGGTACCAGGGTAGCGCTCCCTGATTCCTGTCAGTTTACCAGGTCAGATCCTTGGCAAGCCTTGATGTATTTCTAAAGTCTGCATCACCTTACCTCTTGGCTGCTGTTGCCATGAGATTTTCCTTTTGCTGCCCAAATCATTGCCTCATGTTTTTCTCAGCTTTCTCGCTTAGGCATCCATTACAATGTCAGCTAAATAATGCTACTTTTACAAAAGAAGCATGAAGTACTGAACTGTGCCTGGACAGACTCAGATAATCTCTGTTAACTGCAATTTGATGTTGGACTTCTCATCGTTAAATGTTATAATAGATGCTCTTAGATTCTGTAGGACATCTTGGATGCAAGTTCTGTCCTCCCAACTTCAGTGCTACCCAGAGTCTTCTAATGGGAAGTTTGGACTTTCTTTTATCAGTCCTTGACATATCAGGCCATGGACCTCCATGGAAATACCCACCTTGTAGCTATTTCTAGTTTTCTTGTGCCCTCAACCCCCATCCCAAAGTTTGGTTTCCACTGACGGAGTAAGATAGTAAATTAATACTTTACCACCAGAGCTGGTGCTTCTTGAGTCTTTGGCATTTTCCAAAGATGGAGCCTCTGCTAGAGGGTATTACCCAAGTCTCCCCCATCTTTCTTTCACTCTGGGTGTTCCCCAATGTGGCCTGTTTTCTGGGGTCTTGCTCCTATGACATCTCTCCTTGAACATTACTTTCACAGAATTCTGCTCCTACAGAAAGCTGGTACAACCGCAGGTGTTTAGCAAGTCAAATGAATTCAGATTTCCTATAAGAAAAAGGAAATGAGGTTCATAAGAGCCCATAAACTTTCTATTATGAAGCAATCTGTTAGCCAGCTGTCTGGTTGCAAACCACAGGTTATATTACCGGCATTGCTTCTTCCTGTCTCTCACCTCTTAAACCAAAGCTGTCCCAGTGGCCCTCCCATGTGGCAGCTTGCTCGCTCTGGCTGCTGGCCATGAAGGCCTACCTGAGCAATCTTCCCAAAGCTAGCCTTGGTGGTGGAGGATATTAATGACCCCAGTTACTCATTGCCACCCAGCTGGTAGAACTTCATTCTTCCCTTGGCACTACTCTTCTTCCACTTCAGTGCAAAGCCAGCTGCCTTGAGTTCACCTGGCTGAGGTGAAGCATCTGAAGGATGCTAACTTAACAAGCCAGCTCTTTCCAGAGTGCTGATCTGTGCCTAGGCCTGTGCATTGAACTTCTCTCTTTGTGTACAACACCATGGTCAGGAATTTGTCTGGAAGGTGCCTAGGGGAGCATCTGTGTCACAGTAATGCTTCAAAATCAATGATTGTAAAATCATAGGAAAATGATGAGACGTGTGGATGGTGCACTGTATTCTTACCTCCTCTGCTCCTGTGCTGTTGCTGCTTTTGCTGAAAGAACAAGAACGGTTTGCTGGACTTCTTGAGAGCTGCAGGAGCTGCCTTCATTTTCCCTGCAAGTTGTTGTTGACAAGGAGCGCTGAATGGTTTTTCACCTCTCCCCACTGCAGAACGGGCCAGGAGGAGGAAGCTTCGTGAAGAGCGGGCCTGGCTGCTGGCACAGGGGAAGGAGCTCCCCCCTGAGCTTTCCCACTTGGATCCCAGTTCCCCTACCAGAGAAGAGCGAAGGACCAAGGATCTGTGAGTATGCAGCTGGGCATGCAGCACACAAGTGCATTGAAGTAGTGAGTACAGGAAAGAGAGGAGTGTGATCATTCACAGGAATGGGGAGGGAGAAGTGAGGTTGGAGAACAGTGAGGATTAAGCTGAGAAACATCTGGATTTGGTCTACACTAGAGGATTGTTTGTGATGAGGCCTATTTGTCAGCATTATGGCACTCTGTGTGGGCTGAAAGGGAAGATGAAGTGCGAGAGCATGTCTTATATGTCCTCAGTCTGCCTATTCACTGTTGCGCTTCCCATTACAGCTTTGAACTGGACGATGAGTTCACAGCCATGTACAAAGGTTAGTCCTGCCCCAGCTTTCCCCTTTGCAAGATTTGCTCAAAGTGAAATACTCCCCTGGGCATGTGTGTGTAACCATTCACCTTTCTTTTGCCAGTTCTAGACGTGGTAAAGGCTCACAAGGACTCTTGGCCCTTCTTGGAGCCCGTTGATGAATCGTATGCTCCCAACTACTACCAGATCATTAAGGTATGGAAAGTGGTCCAACCATCTTGACTGATGCACTTTGTTGACCAGGATGCAGTTTTTTGAAGTGTTTTGAAGTTCTGTGGGCTGCGTTACTCTCACAGTCAAACTGCATGACTCCAGTAGTCCCTTCTAGCCTTACAAGTCAAGGAAACCAAAGATGAGAGGCTGCGTCTGAGGAGAGCAACCTCCAGTCCCCATCCCCTCTCTGCAAGGAAGCTAGCTAGGCAACTTTGTAAGCCCTGCTACACTTGTTGTAACCGAAGGGAGGTTTTGTTGCATTTCAGGCCCCCATGGACATCTCTAGCATGGAGAAGAAGTTGAACGGAGGTCAGTACTGCACCAAGGAAGAATTTGTGGGCGATATGAAGACCATGTTCAGGAACTGTCTTAAGTACAATGGTGAAGGCAGTGGTAAGAGCAGTAAGATGCTAAGTTTGTCTATTTGCAGTGCTCAGTCAAAGCAAGCAGTGACCTCTCCTACTCATCAATACTTGATTTGTGCTTATTCTCTTTCAGGATATTTTTGGGAGGCTGGACGAAAGAGTAGGAGCTCCTGAGTAATAAAGCCTGGGGTTTTAGCGAGGTTTTTAGCACAATTTGGTCATGCTGAATTGGGGCATGGTATGCTAAGGGACTCCCATGTTGGTGGATGGTGAAGGCAGAACATACAAAGAGAAGAAAGTCTGTTTCTTTCTGACCTCATTCCTTTGTGTGCTTATGTGTGTCTGTGTGGCCCTTTTTTTCATAATATCTAACACAGACTTTGAAAAGCACTGGAATCTGGTTAGCTCCCAGTGTTTGTTGAGTACCACAGAAAAGTGAGGAATGAACTAGGCTTGTAGTCCTTTGGATGGAAAATGTAGGTTTTGGGTTGCTTGGCTATTGAATGAACAACATGAGTCTGCAAATGGAAAACCCTGGGTTTAATTGCCGTGCCAATTAAAATTCTACATCTTGCTTAGGTAAGAAATCAGTTCCTATATGGCGGGTCATCACTGCAGACTGTGTCTCACCAGCACCGCCTTGAAAGGGAAAATAGTAAGAGCTACCCGGCTTGTCACTGTGGGCCCCAAGTAAAAGCATTCCTGCACTGCCACTGGGAGAGCTCTGTTTCCCGAGGAACTTCAGGGTTAGTTTAGTGGAAACAACTGAAAAGTCATTTGCTTCAAGCCCTTGTCATTAACACTTCTCATATGTCTTTTCCTTCCTATCCACTCCAGTGAAAAGTAGGAGCCCCTCTGAGTAGAACTGCCCTGTGGAAATGATGCAATGGGGACACTGGTGCTGGCAATAGCTTTCATGTTAGGGTCAGCAAGTGCTTTAGAAACTGTACATGGATAAATATGTTTGCTGATTTTCCTCTGTCTTGTAGCATACAGCAGAGGTTTGAATGAGTCCAAGAAAAGCCTCTGAATGTAATCAAACAGCATTGCTGGAAGTTCACATTTCTTCCCTCAGCACTCTGCTGGCTAACTGTGTAGGTCACGCATCTCTGCGAGCAGACGTGGTGCTTCTCATAATGTAATTCTTGGCACTATGCTGGAACACTGAGTTAATGCTGACTCTGCAGGCCAGGCCACTAATGGTACTTTGTCATGCCTATGTGCCTGTCCTCTGGTGGGGTTACTGAACAAATCTGTTGCTGCGTTGCTTATTGAGTTTAAGAACATAAACCAAAGTTAACTAGTCAGAAACAAATGTCTTCCTCAAAGAAACTTTGTGGAGGGGAGATGATTTATCTGATGGGGAAAGTCTGATGTTGCTTAATTGTTTGTCTCTACATAAGGCTCTGTCCCTGATGTTGTTGGGGTTTTTTCACTGCAGAATATACCAAGATGGCTTACAACTTAGAGAGGTGTTTCCACCGAGCAATGATGAAGCACTTCCCTGGGGAAGATGGAGACACAGATGAGGAGTTTTGGATCAGAGAAGACGGGAGACGAGAGAAGAGGAGCCGGCGGACTGGCCGCTCCAGCACAGGCAGTGTTTGGACTCGGTCGCGAGACCCAGATGGACCAGGCAAGAGGCAGCAACGCCTGGAAAATGGAGGAAAACCTCCACCATATCGAGCTACTTCCAGGGCTCCTGCTTCTTCCTCCTCTTCCTCTTCCTCCTCCTTCTCCTCGTCCTCTGCAGAGGATCCAAGTGGCAACCCAATGCAGCCTCCTCGAGAAGTGGGCCCTTCCAATGGGCGAGGTTTCCCTCGCTCTCTGCAGTATGGCGGCATGCCCAGCCCTGTGCCACATCCCGGCCAGATGGTAAGCAGTAGTTTCTGCTGGTCTTCACCCATCAGGCCTGCAGAGGGAGGGAGATAAAGGGGAACAAAGCTCTCTACTGTGGCAAGAACCTTTTCGCAGAGATTAAGGGTCAGGGCTATGGTTTCTACAACTGAAACTTTTCAGCCTTAGATTTAAACTGGTACTATTTCAGTCTTTGCCACACTAGCTGGGAACAGTCTCCTAACGTTTCCCATGGCCGGCATGTCCCTGTGTGGGCTTGTGCCAGCCCTGGCTCCCCCAGTTCTCTTCTCTCCTTGGAGAGTTACCCCATTGTGCATGGAAAGCAGTCACATTTCCTCTCTTAACCTCCACTTTATGATGCTGAACAAGCCGGTCTTCTATTGTCTCAATTGTTTACAGATGCCTGGTAACTTTGTGCCATCTGTGTATTACTGCATTTAGTGCCTTGAGTATTTATAAAAGCAGTAAACTAAATCAAACACAAGGCTATCCTGGACTGCAGCAGTGACCTCCCTTTAGCCCAACATTTCTTCTCTGAATGCCACCTGTTCTGCTTCCCCTCTGGACTGTTCCTTACCCATCTTTCACTGCCTTTTCCATTTTAACCAGTGATGTCTTGTGGTGTGGTGCATCAGCTGCTCTGTTGAGATCCAGGCTACCCCTCGCCCTTTTAGCTAGAGATCAAACAAAATGTTTCGAGCGATTCTTGTGAAGCAGATAGTGGGAGGCAGTAGGAGAGCTGGAGGCAACGAGTGTTTTGAAGGAAATCCAACATGTTCCCCTGTTGTCCTGCTTGCATACTCTTGTGGTCCGCTCCTCTCCTTGGTGTGAACCACTGCCCCCTCCAGTCTTCTTGCTTGCTCCCAAGTAGTTGGGAGGCAAGTGAGTGTACTGCAACCTTGAGCGCGGGAATGCGTGGCTGAGGTGTGAGAAGGTGGCTTTGGCAGGGGAGCTTGTATCACCTTGTAGGAAATAGACTACAGGTTTTTCATGGTATCTCCAAAAAGCCCATCTGCTCATCTGTGTGGTTCCTCCAGGCTTGGCTTCCCCTCTCCTGCAGCAGCTCTGCTGCTTTTCTGCGCTTCACAAATTGTTTTATTTCTCCCTCCCGCACCCCTCCCTGTCCTCCAGAGGCCAGCCGTGCCAGGAACGTTTGGTCCCCTACGTGGATCAGATCCCACGAAACTGTATGGCTCGCCGCGAGTGCCTGAGCCCCATCCTGGAGACCCGGTCCAGCAGCACCAGCACTTTGCCATGCAGGTAAGGAATGCTGCAGCCAAGGGATCCAGCACCCTGGGACCCACAGGTCTCCTCCGCTTCTCAGGGCAACAGCTCTCACCAAGACCCACCCCGTCTCTCTCTCTCCCTCCTCCCCAGCCGTCCATG